GGAAGAGGAGAAAAGGGCATCTAGGCTGTTTGGAGGGACCTAACAGCCAGGGCTTAAGCAGGAGGCTCTACCCTTGGTTCAGTCTAGAGTTAAACTGGACACCATATGTTAGGCCTCCTGACCTCCTATATTTGTCTTGAGATCTATTAATTGAATAACAGACATTTAATTACTTACATTCCACTGCTGTGGCTGTTCCTAACTAGCGTAGTCATTAGAGAAAAAAGGCTGCTGACTTACTTGAGCTTTGTTTTTGCTTCTGGGTCTACTCAGAATACAAAAAGAAGAGAGACATTTTCACAACTAGCATTCATTTGGTTATAGTAAGCTTCCCCTGAGGGACCAGGGCCTGGGACCCTTAAAAGGGTTAGGCTAAAACAACATCTTTGACTGTCCTTGGCTTCCCTGAGCTGTGGATACAAGTTCCCAGGCATAAATGCAGCATGTGTACAGTGTGTTTGCTGTCGTAGACATCTCACTTCTCACAGGAGAGGGAGGAAAAGAGCTTTGGGCTATTTTTCTAGCACTCATTTCATGATGTTTTTTTTTTTCTTTTTAAAATGTTATAGCGAAGTATAAACAGGACCGAACTTGGAACTGTCTTTTCCCTTCTTTGTTTGCTAAACCCGCATTATTATGGCAAATACAGATATTGCAAAGGCATCTCATTCTAAACTGAGCCTTTGATTAATTTAATTTGTATATGTGGCATTCTACCACTTGATTTCACTGTCTGTCTTTTCCTTTTTCATGTCCTTGTGATGATGTATTTAGCAGAATTTACTCACTGTCTGACATTTACATATACAGCGTTAAATGCACAGTACTGAAATGTGTTCTGATGATGCAGTTCTATCACTGCACTGTTATAGGTCAAGAGCTCATCCTGACAAAGAAACTCATGATAATCTTGAGGCTGTACTAGGGAACCTATGGCTCCTGTTACTGAGAGAGAGAAAATGGAGTCAAACTGAGCCCAGGCAATCAAGAGTGGGCCTGCCTGTAAAGGGATAAGCAGCCAGAGATCCTTAAATGAGGAATGCGTATTGCTGCAATAGGATAGTAACCTGGGGAAGCAGCAAAAGAACTACGGCAATATTAGTTCTGCTGCTATAGGTAGGGACCTACCTAAATCACGGTGGAAGTTTGTAGTGCAGGGGTACCTCTAATCTTGCTCTTTGTGTTGTGCTTCCCCCCGCCCCCCTGCTGCTGAGTGGCCCAGAGGCAATTAATGCCATGGGTTTTTTTCTCTCTCAGCCACTCGGCAGCAGGAAAGGGGGATGCACGGTGAAAAGAGCAAGATTAAAGGTGCCGCAATTGGCCATCCTGAAGGCTGTTAAGCCAAGCATATTAGAGAGCATCTGCAGACCACCCAGGGAGTTGCATGACCGGAAAGGGGCAGGACTTTAGTAGCATATAAGCCCAGGCCAGACCCAGAGCAAACAGCCTGGCTCTAGTGGCTGAAGGGAAAGGAGCTCTGCAGGGAGATACCTGTTGATGATGTCATGTGAGATCCTGCTATGCCAGGGGTTTTCAACATTTTTGGGTCAGTGTACCCCCAGCAGCTGGTCAAGAAGGAAGGAGTACTTCCTGGTTCCCCCCCCCACATCAACCAGTTGCCGTGTGTGTGTGTGGGGGGGGGGGTCCCCCAATGGCCAATCAGCAGAAGTGTCCCCTGGTTGAAAACCCCTGTGCTACGCATTTTGAGTCACAGGTAGGGAACTGGGAACTGACAAAGGATTAGAACCAGTATGGATGATAATTGTATTACAGAGCCAGTAGGTTTAAAGGATTAGGTTATAGCCATACTTATGTATGTTAGAGTTTAACCAGCAGTTTGGGTGGGACTAGAAAGGGGTGAGAAGAGGTCCCAGTGGTACGGTACCTGAGTGGTATATGGCTGTTTTCAATCCTGCCAGAGGGCAGTGGCTTGATTGCAGCAACAGAGAGATAAAAGTCTGGGAGAGACAAAACAAGGATCAAAGACACATGGCCCATGAGGGGCAGGTACAGGGCTAGTGAGCTCACAGGCCAGAAAGGGGCAGAGATTGGGGCCAGGGGGTCAACAGCCCAGGCAGGGCAGAGATAAGAGCCCAAGAGGGCAAGTTAAGGTCTGGAGCCCAAGGAGCAAGACCTGGTGCAGTGTGGGTCTAGGCCAGGAGCAGGCAATTATTTTGGACAGAGGGCCACTTACTGAGTTTTGGCAAGCTATCGAGGGCTGCATGACAGGCATCCAGGGCAGATAAATATTATTTTTCTAAATTTTTAGGGGCCCTGTGGGCCAAATAGAATGACCTGGCAGACCACATCCGGCCCACAGGCCACATTTTGCCCACCCCTGGTCTAGGCCAAAGGAACAAGCCAGAGCAGTGGGGCAAAAGCTGGGAAGGCCAGGGCCCCAACAAGGGATTAAGAGGCCTATGATGGTCTAGTGGTGGGAGGGAAGGTACCCACCTAAGGGATGACTGGAATCACCTGCAAGGCTGTAGGGGAGGTTTGGAGGCTGTGATTAGCCCATAAGGTAGCGGGTGCTTTTGGGAGGCATGTATGGGTCAAGAGGGCCCATATAGTGGGAGGGATTGAGTATGAGTAGTGGGGTCCAAGAGGGATGTGTGAGTAAAGAAGATAGATTGTGGCTTGTCGTAAGACCCTTGGGCAGCCTCCCTTTACAAGTTTTATTAACAAGATCAAGGTGTGGCAGGCAAGAGCAAATGGAGGGACTTTAGAGTTAGAGCGGAGCAGGAGCTGAGTCACCACCAGGGGACATGACAGCTGTCCTTGGAGTGCCAGTCTTGTTACAAGGCCTAGGAAGTAGTTGCACTCAAGCTGCTGTGGTTATTCACCAGATGTAAAGTTAAGCATGTATCTAAGTTTTTGCAGGGTCAGAGCCATAAGACACCAATTATTAGTAGCACACACGAGGAAAAGCCTGTTTTATTTATCAGCATTTCAGAGCAGTCCCTAGAATAACATTTGAATGATTCTGTGCTGTACACTCTGATTTCTTTGCTGAACTATAATATTCAGTCCAGGAATTGCTATGTGAAATGCCTTGCCTTATGTTATGCAAGAGGTCAGATTAGATTGATCGTCATGGTATGTTCTGGTCATAAAAATTTATGGCTGAACTCTTGGCCCTGCTGAAACCAGGGGGAGTTATGCCATTGACTTCCACAGAGCCAGGGTCTGTGAATGTCCATGAGAGAGAGAGAGAGAGAGAGTGTGTGTGTGTGTGTGTGTGTGTGTAAGGATTGTCTCACATGTCATTCAGAGCTGGACTGACACCCACCAAATTGTCATGGACACTTCCAAAGTACTGGCTTGTGGTTTTCTGACTTGTCATTCTAGAGAACTGCGCCATGCCCTAGGGGGACTTTTTAAGGTATTTTATAGGCCTGTGCAAAGTGGCTAGTATTTGCTTTGGATTCAGATTTGGCCGATTCAGGGGACAGGGATTTGATTCGTTGATTCAAATCACTGTCCTGAATTAATTTGGCCGCATCTGGTTCGGAGATTCAGCAGCAGCTGAATCAAATCCGGCTGCAGCTCCCTGCTGCAGCTACTGGGGACAGCCAGTGAAGATTCAGAGAGCTTCAAATCAATTCGGACTTTTTAATTGGTCCCCTGATTCTATTCAGATTCAGCCACCAAATCAGGCCGAATCTCCTCTGAACTGAATCAGCACCTGAAGCTTCGCACAGCCCTAGTATTTTCCATCTTCCTGTAGCAGCTCAAAGTTTGCAGCTCCTTCCCATTTGAAGGACTAACAAAAAGCAATGCACACAGAAGAGCTGAACAGGAGTTAGGGCATTAAGTAGCAAAAAATACCCAACATCCTCCTCAGCATCACCTATGAAAGATGATTTTTAAAATACACAGTGTGCTCGCAGATCAGGAAACAGGAATGTGAAGCACTGATGGAGCCACCAAAGCCACACATCTTAGTGTTATGCCTGCTGCTAAGGCACTCAACAAATTCCACTGTCCTGCCTTAAGCTGACTTCTATAGGGCACAGTTTGATTTTCTTTTATCGTTGTATTTGGGGTCACTTAAGATATTTTTGCACAAATGCAAGCAGTAAGAAAAGTGCTATGAGGCAGGATGAGCCAACTCTACCACAACATATTCCTCCCACTGAAATCAGTAGCCCTGTAAATTAGGGCACAGTTTAAGTCATATCTGTCTTGAGGTGCCGATGCACCATCAAGGCCATGAGGGGAGCATTACAGTCATGGAGTCTGCCCCTCTGCCTGGCACAGCCCATAGGAGTCCACCTCATGGTTTCTACAAGGATCCCAACCATACATGAGGGACACATCCAGTTCCTTCTTTGAAGATTTGTATTTGTAAAGCAGCTCCTTGATACAAAAAGTGTTGGATTATGCAGACCCAGTTTCTCATTCCCCCTCCTGCCCCCTGACCAAATCAGGAGAACAGACTGCTGGCCACATTCCAGATCTGTGTGTTGGAAGCAGCCCAGCTAGGTCTAAGTTCATGATCAAGTACTTTACTAACTGGAGCCAAGCAGAGAACCTGGCAAGGCTATCTCTGCACCTCTCTGACAACCAGCAAGTCAGGGAGTTGGATTTGCAGAGGGAGAATGACAAAGCATTACTATCAGATCCTTTCCAATCTACTTCTAAGCCTGGTGTGCTTGGGTTGTCCAGACTTTACAGCCCCAAGCTGCCATATTATCATGCCCTTCCTTGCCCCTTATCTCTTCCGGTGTCAGTGTTGTGTGGTGTTAGGACAGAGACTCGAATTGTTTCTGGTTGTGTATTACTTCTGTCCAAGCTTTGAAATAGCTTCCCTGACCACTTCCCAATTTAACTATTTCTTTGGACTAGACCCAGCCCCTAATTGCTATACTTCTTGCTCCCAATTTCTTTCAGCAGGTCTGTGCTCAGGAGTGTGCAAAAAAAGGAATTGTTTTTTATCAGTGTTTTATTGCATTTTCTTGGTTAATTGCAACTCTTCTTTGTTGTTTCCTGTCATACAGCTTTAACAGTAAGATTCATCACCAAAAGATTCATTGGGGACTATGACCCTACTCTAGGTAAGTGAAGTATTTATTATTCAACTACTGCTGCTATTATTGTGATTTATATTATGATAGCCTGGGTAAACGCCATTGTGCCAGACACTGTATGGGAATTGCTGAGTTATCCTGAAGGCATCTGGGGACAAGGCTGGCTTTCTTATGGGGAAGTAAGGCATTTAGCCCCTCAATTAAAACATATCTAGCGATATCCAGGACTTCCATTGTTTGCTTGATGTTCAATTTGAGCACCTACTTTCTGAATATCAGGCCTTTTTAAAGGAACCCCAAGTTGGATATGGAAAATCATGAGCCAATAAAAATGTAGGTTGCTCTTTCCAAGCCATGTTATTTGCTGGGCCATGCTGCTGGGCTTGGAAGGGTGGGGATGCTAGAAATTCTTCTGTTTTCTGCACTTCATGTAGGAAGTAGCTACTGCCTCATGGAAAAGAAATGTTCTGGTTTCAAAACAGCTCAGCTCTTTCCTTGCCCATCCTATGTTTTCTTTATTTTGCTTCCCTTGTTTGTTTTGACTGGAGAAAGTTTTCACAAAGGCAGGATCCCTTTTCCCGCGGGAATTCCTTTCCTGTCTGCTGCTTATTTTTTTCACTAGGAGCTGCTTACTGTGGCCTGATAAAGTATGTAACTTGCACCAGAAACACCTGATACAGAATCAGGGAAAATTAGGGTTCAAAGGGACCTCAGAAGGTCATCTAGTTTAACCTCCTGCTCAAAGCCAGACCATCCCCAACTAGATGATCCCAAGGCTTTGTAAAGCCAGGTCTTGAAAATCTCCAAGGATGGAGATTCCACCACCTCTCTAGGAAACCTGTTCCAATGTTCTACTATCCTCCCAGTGAGAAAATTTTTCCTAATATCTAGCCTAAACTTCCCTTGCTGCAACTTGAGACCATTGCTCCTTGTTCTATCATCTGCCACCACTGAGAACAGTCTAGCTTCATCCTCCTTGGACACTTCACAGAATACACGGGGTTCCTTCCCCCAGGGAGCTTGCAGTCCAAATGAGATGAGACCACATGCTCAGACGAAGGAAGTAATAGGGCTAAGAGAAAAACATTTACACAGGTGGGTTTGGAAGAAGAGAGCAGGGAGCTGAGGAGGTGAAGATAGGGCATAAGTGGCTGAAGGTTTGAGGCTGGGGGACAAGAGACAAAGGGATCTATGGAAGATTTGGCAAGAGCACAGGGGAAGGTAGGGAATAGGACCTGGGGCATGAGTGAGGATGGGACTATAGGATTGAGGGTGGGAGTCATAAGTGTGAGCGTGGTGAAGGTCAAGAGTGTAAAGGTTAAACTTTATATGAAAGCCAAGGCAGGAGTCCAAGAACAGGAGCAGGTGGTTTTTAATAGCAAAAAGATCAGCTGCTAGAAGGCATTCTCTGACATGGCTGCAGGGAACTGGAGTTGATGACCAAGAAAGTCCCTTCATGTTCTCTAATGACTTCAGTAGCTGTGTTTGAACAGGTTTGAGAGGTCAGAGGAAAAGAGTACACTCTATAGGTAGGGACAAAGGCTAAAACACCTTTGATGTTACTGCCAGAAAACCACACCAAGATGTGAAGAATTATGCCCTGCCTTGGCAGGACTTCAGAGAACTCCTGCAACCTCCTGTTCCAAGACAGGTTGGGAGGTGTTATCCCAAAGTGAATCAGAGGCAGGAATGGAGACCAGAGCCAAGATTTTCAGAACAAGGTAGGCTCTTACCTCAAAGTCAAGGTAAAGGTCTCCCTGAGTCAAATGACTTGTTGAGCTAGCGTTGTTTAAGCACAGCACTTGCTATGCTGTGCTCACACAAGGGAGTGATGTGGCTCTCAACATATATGGTCACTTCACAGCTTGAATGACCAGGTGTCCAAGTTGCAGTAAGATGAGAATTATGTTGCAGCTGTGATGGTCCAGGGAATATGTGAGAAACAAGGTTTGTTTGGCAGTATCTTTTATTGGGTCAACTGGTTGAGAGAGTAGTTAGAAGAGATATGGGAAGAGTTGAGAGAGATGTTAGAAAAGCTTTTAGGCAGAAAATGTCTTTCCTCAGGTCTGGAAAAGAGACAGGTAAAGCCTAAGCTGAATACCAGGTAGAACAATTACTTTTGCTTTACTACCCTGTTCCCCTTCTTTTAGTGATTATTTTCACTTAATGGGAGTTGAACACAATTCATTGATCTACCTGGCATTTAGCTTGGGCTGCATCTGCTTCTTTCCCAGACCTGAGGAAAGGCACTTGGTGCCCAAAAGCTTGTCTAACATCTCTGCAAATGAAGTAGTTGGCCCAATAAAAGATGTCACCAAGAAAACCTTCCAGGTGTCCCTATATAGCCAGGTTGATTGGGGACATTTTTTACCACAAACCTAGAACAGGGCCCAAACCTGTATCTGTAGCAAGATGCCTTAATCCGGGGGCGGGCAATTATTTTGGGCAGAGGGCCACTTACCAAGTTTTGGCAAGCTATCAAGGGCTGCATGGGTAGCCCTGCCCCTTGACAGGTGCCCTGCCCCGGTTGCCATCTTGGGACTGTAAGTCCCACCCCCTGACCTTTGCCACTAGAAGTCCCTTGCCCCCAGGAGTACTCCTTTCAGCAAGGGGTTTTGCCATCTCAGAACCAGAAAAATACCAAATTATATTGTAAAAAGCGCACATCTACAACATTCATTAATTTGATTTCAAAAAATATTTTTGTCCTGATTTACATGCTTTTGTGTAGTGTACATAGAGGTGATTATATATAATAGCTTAAAATGAAGTCTTACTCTTGTACATTGTGGGGGGTGAGTATAGGTTTGTGGGGGGCTGTGGGTGTGTGGGTATGTGGGGTGTGGGGGTGGATAGGTGTGGAGGGTGTGGGGTAAGGGAGCATTTGGGTGTGTGTATAGATATATGGGGTTTGTGCGGGGAAGGGTGGCTGGGTTGTGTGAGGGGGGTGTAGGTGTGGGGGTCTGCATGGATGGCAGTGTGAGGGAGGGGTGTGGGTGCATCTGTATGGTGGGGTGTGCATATGGGACTCACCCTATGAACACACACACAGACACACACAGTCCCTCCCTACACATGTGCACGCGTGCGCACACGCATACACACACTCCCCCGTACCAGCGCAACCCTATGCTCCTTGGTCTGGTGATGCAGCCTGGAGCCATGTGGTGCTAGAGCAGCGTGGGGGCAGGAAGGCAGGGAGTGGTGTGGTACTGGGTTGCTGCTTCCTGCTGGTGACTTCCCTTGGGTCCTACTGCCCCTGGCTCCTGTCATCTTTGACAGGCAGCCAGGAGCAGATAAATACTAATTTTCTAAATGTTTTAGGGGCCCCATGGGTTGTATTTTGCCTGCCCCTGCTTTAACCAGTCTGCCACCATGTCCTGCCAGACTGGTGGCCTGACTTTCAGAAGTACCAGCTTCCCAGCAACTTGAATTCCTGATTTCATCCTGAGATCTGTTCCCTAGACTGCTGTCTCCCTGTCTACATAACAGTAGCAAATGAACTCTGGAGTGGCAAGAATTTTCTTCATGCAAATATCACTATTGAAATAAAGGGGAAGGTCACTTTTGTAGGGCACTGTCTCTGCAAAACTGTTGCAAGGCAGAGTGTTGTGGTGTTTATATCTTGGATATATTAGAGAAATTTCAAGCATTTCACTACATATTTGATGTCAAAAGAACTATGCAGATCTATGCATCAAGGCAACTTTTATCTCTTGTTTAGAAAAGCAAGATCTGTTCTTCCAGATATATGTGACCGGAACTAAAAGACAGGCAAGCTGAAGGCAGTGGGTGAGGAGTGCCAGCAGGGCTGACAAACAGAACTGAAAGAATTGCTTTTAAAAATAGCTTGAAAGTTCTCATAGCTTTTAGCTCCCTCTCTGTTGGCATTTAACACCCCTGCAATGGAGTCATTCTCTCCTGATCCTTTTCATTTCTAGCATATGTCACACTGATCATTCCTGTGATTCCCAACCTCATGTTTCCAATGGAACAAAGGCCAACATGGCCTGGGTTTGGTTTTCATCTTCATTTCCTTGTCCAAGTCCTTGCCTCACTGGCCTCTTTTTGTAGAGTCATTCTTTCTCAGATGGGCAGGAGGGTGGAGAGAGGCAAAGCCAGTCATGTACCCAGTTTGGGACAGACATGGTTTCATCCATCTGAGTCTTAATTTTGAAAGCACTGCAGGAATCTCTCATGGATGTTCCAGCTTTCCATTTGCTAATTTAAACTACAGAAACAGTTGGAGGCACATTGTACATGATACACCAGTCCACAGGTTCCTGCTGGAAACTTTGAGAGACAGCCCCTGAGTGCTACAGTCAGTATGTAACCGTATCACGGTGAATGCAGATCAGGTTCTTACACCAGTGCTAGATTTAGAGCGTGGATAACACCAATGGGTCTTAGACCACATAGTTTCTGACACTGAGAGTGTTTACAGATGTGGAAACACTGTCCCTGCCCCCTGCCCCCCCCCCTCCAAAACAAAAAAAAACAAAAGAAAAAGCCCAGCCCTTTACTTTCATCTTGCCTATTAGATAAAAGTGCCCAAAAGCTCTGCTGAAGCATGCAAGCTATATAGATGCTGGGGAGCAGGGTCAAACGGACATGGTTCCTTTTCTGGTAAAGCGCTGGATTTTTTTCTCCCACATCTATCAGCACCATGACTGATTTACACTGCTAGATCTCTCCAGTAGAGATCTAGGCCTTCTTGGGTGGGAGACAGGGGGAGGGAAGAGGTCCAGGAGGACCTAGGGAAAAGCCATTGCTTTTGGCTCTGGTATCTCTTTGCCTCCATACCTATTGCTGGGGAGATTTGTCTTTTTTGTTCACATGTTTTTTCCACGTGCCCCAGGGCACTTGGTCCTATAGTGATATCACTGCCCTGGTTTAGGGACATTATGATTGGTTACCATGGAATTAGATGTGACAACAGACCTGTAGCCTTTTGGCTTGCCTGCAGGATAGGGTGGGATTTGAAAACACACATTTTGCTGACAAGCGAAAAAAAGCTGTTAAGAAAAACGTGCCAAAAACATGCAACAGGAACAGATCTATGCATTACAAGAGATGAGAGCACATGGAATTCCCCTTTTCCCGCCCTACACACCAGCTCCATTATCACCTTCCTGATCTTAAAGCAAGAGAGCAATGCCCTCGGGTGAAGATGAACTAACGAGACTTGTCAGAATCTGTCTGATGACTTCAACAGCTGGAGTGGTTTTGGACTTCGATACGGGTACAGTATGTATGTGGGGGAAGCAGAGCCGCTTAGCACTTCACCGCAACTGCCTGCGTGACCCTCTCACCATAGGTGGGAGTGCTATATTCTGACATAGGGTCTCAACCTGGTTTCCTTTGAAATCAGTGGCAAAGCTCCCATTAGCTTCAGTGCAGTCAGGGATGGGATGGGTTGTGAGTTTGACTGTTCACTCTAAAAGCATCCAGTTACCATTCTATCAGTGATCAGGACATGCCAGGGTCTGATCTGCCGTGCTATCAGTACTTTCTTATGTAGCATGATCTAAGCCAGCCTTGTGCTGGCTGAAGTCCACACTTACTCTGTGCAGGGATCAGGAGACATTTCATGTGCCTTTTTTTGTTCTTCTGCAGAGATGATTTACAGACACACAGCTGTCATCGATGGGGACATGGTGCATTTTGAGATTCTCGACACGGCAGGACAGGTACAGTTATGGTTCCTTCATCCATGGATGCTGGGAAAGACTAACTGGAAAGAATTCCCAAAGAGGCAGCATCCTTTTTTCAGTCCATGTTCTTGCCATTGGCCCCAGTACGTGGATTCCAGTGTGGGCCATGCCTCAAAAAGAGTGTGGGTGCACATCTGTCTTCTGAGCCTTGAAACATGATGCTTCAAGCAAGCAAGCAGTGGTGGAGGGCAGGGATGCTTTGGGTGGACCAGCTGAGGAGGCCTTGAGAGAGGATAGTGAAGGCAACACTTATGCTTGATTCTAAGGCTGTGTTTTACAGGGCTAGCCTGAAATCTCCTCTCAGAATTAAATTTCATCAGAAAATGTCAATTCATTGAGTCCACGATGCCTCAGGTTTTCATCAATCCCAGATTAGTGTTCTAACAGAACCCAGCCCCAATCCCCGGCAGGCTGCTCCCAGAGTCTGTTGCCCGGGGAAACATTTGCCCAATGGGTCTGCCCCAGAGCTGAGACTCCTGAATGGACTTGATCCTTGGCCCTAACCACTTAGCCTTGGAGCTGCAGCCCCTGTAAGTGCAGAATCCCTGGCCTAACAGAGCCAGGCTGAACCCTTGGATTTAGAGTATGTGGCTCTGGGCCAAACAGCCACGCCAGAGCTTCCAGGCTCTCTGCCATGGAGGTGGGAGCCTGAAAGCCCAGAGGGCCCTGGCTGCAAAAGGGGTTCAGCTCCTGACACTGCAGGAGGAAGTTCTGAAAGTCTGAGAACCATAAAAGGAGCCATAGCTCTCAGAGCATCTAGACTTCATGCTACAAATCTGAGATTCAGAGCCTGAGAGCCACAGGATTGGCTCCCAGGGTCTGTGGCTCTGGGGAAGCTCCCAGACAGGACTACCTGGGAGCTACATACAACTGAGGGCCCCTAGCTGCTCCATGAAATCACCTTTCTTGCCCTCAGCTGGTGGTGAAATGGATGAGCATGTCAACTCCATGGAGCTGCTAAAAAAAATCTAAGGAGCTGCTCTACTTTGGTCTTTCCAGAGTAAAACACTCTCAATTTCTAGTCCATGGGGAATGCTGAGTATTTTTGGTGTTCTGTCTGATTCGCAACAAAACCAAATTTAAAAAAGGACAGTTTCTTATGAACTGGAAATCAAGTGCCATCCAGACCCTCAGCTCTGGGGCAGATCCACTGGGAACTGGAAACTCTGCCTTCCCATCAGCTCCTCCGTATAGGGACTTGAATGAGAAGCTAGGAGTCAGTGTCTAAGGGTGGGATGAGAATGTTCTGGGAATGCCACTTTGCCTTTGCACTTTTGAATTTAATCAGACCACCCTTGGTAGGACTTCAGCCATGTCATTTGAAGTTGCCCATTTAGTCTCTCTCTCTCTCCTTTTGCTGTATACAATGCAATGCCCTTCTGTCTGCAGCACTGGGAAATATCCAAGACCCAATGGACAAGGCCTTTGGAGTAAGAGATTTAGTATTGCACTTCAAGTAGCCAGAGGTCTAGACTGACCTAGGTGTATGGTTTATCCATGTATTTATTTATATGTGTTTATATAGTTAAATTAAAACTGGTGGAGCTACTTTAATCCAGTCTCTTGAGCTGTTTCAGTTTCTAACCAATCCCTGTGGATGACACATTGCACCCCACAGAGCATATGCAAAGGCATCGTCCCTGTGCCAAAGACTTCACAGTTGTCTTTTGACCAAAATCAAAGCATCAGGAGAATGAGAAGTTCAGTGTAGGGAACAGAGCACTCTTGGAGGAGGTGTTGCTGAAGGAGATGGCTCATTGCCCAGCAAGGGACAGGAGGTTGCTCTGAGAACAGGGTGAGACTCAGGAGAAGGGACAAATCCAGAGGTGGAGGAAGAGAAGACCAAGGAAGGAGCAACACTGGGGGTGTACAGGGAGCAAGTATAAGAAGAAAGGGGCAGAGGCAAATAATGCAGGACTTCAAGGGAGGGGAGATGAGGAGCTTTTACCTTGTG